GTAGGTAGGACTGGGTGAGACCTCTAAAAGAACAGAACGAAGTAAGTTCTGTCTTTCTTCTTCAGATAAGGTTGGCCTCTCCATTGTTCTATGCCCTACTTCTTAGTTCATTTTTTCCTACTCGGACCCGCCGTACTTCCTTTGACTACTCCTGAGATATAGTGGAAACATTTCTTCCTTATCAGAGAGGGCCCCTTGTTGAGCGGGGCTTCTTTTTGAAAAAGGGGGAGTGAGGGCTTTCCGGACCTTCCCCGAACTGGCGCTGAGCCCTAGTGAAGAGGTATGAACTTCTCTCTTTAGCCCTTTGTATATGTTCATAAATGGGTGTGAGGTCTATATAGAGAGCAGATTCTTCCCATCTATGAATCCAAACCTCCCGAGCAGCTTGCATTAGTTGTCCTTCAAACAGTTCCTTCTCGGGCAGTAACAGCGGATTCGATAGCACATTGTGCAAGTCTGTTCTCGCCTATCGATAGATAGCAGGTTGCTTCCATGGACCCCCACTAACCAGCCTAAAGATCTCATCCTCCCCCCCTTCATCTTGATCTTGACAAGATATCTCTTTTCAACCGAGGAACAAAACAAGATCATTTCGCTCCAACAGCCCACTTGAGCAATTTTCCATTCTCCCATTGATTCGTGGATATCGTGTTCTTGCAAGGCTAGACCATAGGCGCCCGAGGCGGTATTCCCATCTTGTGGTTATGGGGCTAAAATTGGCACCAATCCTTATTTACTACTACATCTTTTTTGGGGTGTATAGCTCAGTTGGTAGAGCATTGGGCTTTTAACTTCCTGAATAGCCTGGATTCTCCCGTCGAGAGTCTCTTTGAAAGAGCTATGACTTCAAGTAAGAAAGTGAAAGTTCAGTCCTCACCGCCAAAAAGAAGACAGCAACAATCCGTACTACAGAGAAGCTTTTCACACATATTGGGGGAGATTCAAGAAACTTTGTGCCCACTGTCCTAAGCACGAAATTACCGAGTACCAACTCCTATAATATTTCATTGAAGGAATGACTCCAATGGAAAGAAGGATTCTTAATGCCTGTAGTGGTGGATCTTTACCCGACAAGAATCCAACCGAAATATGCAACCTAATCAAGAACATGGCTGAAGATTCTAAACATTCAAGCCATGATGAAGAATGGTACACGGATGCACCCCGAGGTGTAAAGGAAGTCCAAACTCCTCAAATTGATGCCCAATTGTTCGAGCTTACGAAAGTGGTAATGATGCTAGCTAAAGACAAGGATGTGCAGCCCACACCCCGCCCTTGCGGTATTTTTACTCAAGTAGGGCACCCAACTGACATGTGCCCTCAACTTCAAGATGAGGATTATGAAGAAGCAAAGCCATGGGAGGTTATTCCAGATCAAATCAAAGAGGATATGATCAGCCACTGGGCGACCAAAGACAGAACAACAATCAAGGTTAGGGAGGAAATCAACAGGGAAGTTATCAACCAAGTCAACCAAATCAATACCAGCAAAGACCACCTTTTCCACCACATAACTTTCAGCAAAGGCAACCACAACACACTACTCAACAAGCAGGTTCATCAAGTATGTCCTTAGAGGACATAGTCAAGAGTTTGGCCACTAGCACCCAAACTTTCCAACAAGATACAATAAGGAACTTAGAGAAACAAGTTTCACAGCTTGTTATCTCTGTAAGCAAACTAGAATCTCAAGGAAAGTTGCCTGCCCAAACAAAAACGAACCCAAGTCACAATGTGTGTGCCATCACTTTGAGAGGCGGAAATAGATACAATGGTCCAAAAGTGTCGGTTGATCAAGAAGAAAAAGAAATAGTGGTCGAAGAGGCAACCAAAAAAGAGAAGAAGGAAGATAAAACAATCGAAAAGAAGCCCTTCGTCACTGAGTCTAAAGCCAGACCTGCTCCATTCACCGAACGATTAAAGAAAACGAAGAAAGAACGGGAGCAGAGTGAGATTATGCAAATGTTCCAGAAAGTTCACATTAACATCCCACTCCTCGAGGCCATAAAGCAGGTACCTAGATATGCAAGGTTCCTTAAGGATCTTTGTGTATCTAAAAAGAAATTGAAAGGAAACCAAATCGTAAAAGATAGGGAAAATGTATCTGTGGTTTTACAAAAGAGGATGCCCCCAAAGTGCAATGATCCCAGTGTCTTTACCGTACCATGCAAATTGGGGAATGTTTATGTAACTCGAGCCATTCTCGATCTAGGCGCATCCATAAATGTCCTACAATATTCTATCTTTAAATCAATTGGTGTAGGAACATTAAGCAAACCCGGTGTGATCATCCAACTTTCCGACCGGTCTTTGGTACATCCAAAAGGTGTATTGGAGGACATGTTAGTGCAAGTTGATGAATTTGTTTTCCCGAATGATTTTTATGTCTTAGATATGGGAGATGATGACTCTCCAAATTCAAGTTCCATACTTTTGGGTGGACATTTCCTTAAAACTTCTAAAACAAAATTGATGTTTATAATGGAACTTTAAGTATGAAATTTGATGGTGAAGTTATCAACTTCAATGTTCATGAAGCAAAAAAGGTTCCTTCCGATGTTCAGTCTGTCAATCATGTGAATTTGATCCAACCCTTGACTAAAAAGGGCTTAAATTTGTCTAACAATGAATTTCTAGAGTTAGTTTTGTCACAAAAACTAGACAGGGACAAAGCCAAAGAAATTGCAAAGGAGTTCGATATCAATAATGAGGTGCTAGAGATTTTGGAGCTTATTGATGACAAGAAGTATATGAGGATTGATGATATGAAACCCAAGCCACCTACCACCAAAGCCAAATTCCTTCCACCGGTGGAACAAGCACAAGATCCCGGAGCAAAAACTCCATCAGACCCTTTAAAGATAATACATGTCGAGAAGGAGAGCACTTAGTCGGTCATCAACTTAAATAAACTATCGAAGAAGGAAGATAATGAGTTGATAACCCTGCTGAACAAATACCAAAAAAGGATTGAGTAGACAATCTCTGATATTAAAGGTTTAAGTCCTTTTTGGTTTGTGCACAAAAAAAAGCCAAAGGAAGGATGAAGGTTTTGTTGAAGGAGGTGGCAAGAAGATTGATGTGTTGGGGAGGCCTATATACTTAGAATGAAGCATATTTGGGGGCAACGTCGAGCCAACGACTTAAAATAAGGACGGCTAACCGAGAGGCAACCCGGGGGTATTTTCATCTTTTTCTTTACAAAAACAATTTCCATTTCTTTGAGTTTTTGGGTTTTCAATGTTCCAAATGCATTTAAACATGATTTAAAATCACCAAATGGACCTCGAGATGCAAAAACATTTCATTTGAATGAGAGGGAAATTTTGGGGTTCAAAAAAGTGGAAGTGGCAATCAGAGGGGTACACAGCCCGTGTTCCTCTTGTCTTATAATGAACATGGGTCGTCTTCATCAATGGCAAGCACTTCAACAGTTAGAGGGGTACATGACCTAGTGACATTTTTCCCTTGTGAGCAACATAGGCCGTGTTCAGCCAAATCTCACATATTTTAGACCCAACACGGGTCATGTTAATTTTCCCTTATGCCTAACACGAGCCGTGTTCTCACATCAGACCTAGTGGTTTTTAATGATAAAAATCTGGGTTTTACCCCATTCTTCTGAACACTCATTCCAAAACAGCCCCTTTCCCCCCAAAAAAAACCCAAGGTCCGATTTTCATCAAAAATCCCTTGATTCTTCATGATTTTGGCTTAAATCTTCAAAAATGTTTGATTTTCATCTTCCCCACTTCATCTCCTACATCTAATACACCATCTTATTGCATTTTCATGGTGGATTTGGGGTTTTTGACAAACCCTAGGTCCAGAAATTTCTTAGAATTTTGGTGTTTTTGTGCTTAATTCTTCATGTAGGCAAGCTTGGGAAGGTTGAATACGGTCTTTCTCACCAACAACAATACATTTCCACTAACGATTCGGTACATTATTTCATATTCTTCACTTGTGGAATTTGTGTTCTTAGGGTCAAATTGCATGTATCTGTGGTCATTTTGGACTTGACAATAACTTGGAAATCATTCAAAACTGAGTTTCCCATGAATTTTTGGTGGCCAAACTTCTGTTGACTGGACCCGTCAACAGTTGACTTTTTGACCCATTGACCGGTTGACTTTTCATCTTTGCCCCAGATTTTGCATATGGAAGGTGAACGTTAAGACCGAGGCATACTAAGGCCTCGGTCCATCGTCGTAGAACACCATCATCGCCATCTAGGTCCCTGTCACCCCCACCTCAATCCCCACCTAATCCGGCCCATGGTGGTGTAGTTTGTCTTGGCCCTATTCAAGTTGCCAAACTTGAGGTCTTTCTCCAACGTGTGCATACTACCCAACAATTTGCGTATGTGCCATCTCTCCACGAGTTGCACATCTACAACCAAGTCCACACCTTGTTCCGAAACATTGGATGGCAAGGGTTGCTAAGGGTCCACGAGCTCAGCTATAAAGCTCCAATAGTTGAGTTTTTGTCTTCAATTTATTTGGACCATGGTGTCCTAAATTTCTGATTAATGAACCAAGATCATGCCATGTCTGTAGACCAAATCAATACTATTGTTGGGGCCCCAACAGAAAACACTTTTGGCCCCAATGACCCGATTCACTGATACAATGATCTTACGTGGTGGACCGACCTTACTCATCTATACATGTATGTCTCAAGTTCTGCTAATGCCTCATCTATCATCCATCCTATGATGAATGTGGCCCATCAGATTCTTTCTTCGCTCGTTGCCCCTAGAAAAGAGCGAAGCACCATTAGATCTTAAGCTCAAAATACTCTATATTATGGCCCACCCGAATGATAATCTCATTCCTCACTATGGCTTATTCCATTGTAACAAACTCACCTGACTCAGCACATCACGGTCCAGCAAAATATCTTGTGGTGGCATTGTTAGTTTATTTGCCAAAAGTGCTCCAGTTTGGACCCCATATCCCGAAATTCACCAACCTCTGCCCGGTGAGACCTACCTTACCATGGGAGTTCTTGGGTCTATGAGAATGTTTAGGGTGAAGGACGGGAACCATAATTGGACCGTGGGTCAAAACCACAATCCAAGGCTCCTTATCACCCCTGAGAACCGGGAGATCCATGCCCTCAGGCATCCTAACAACTTCACCGACTGGCAAATCACACCATATATCTTCCCCGATTCCTTCTCCGAAGAGGAAGATGAGGAAGATGGATACAATGATGAGAGTGGCAAGGCGGCACCACAAAATTCTCCTCCCATGGGTGGTGCCAGCTCATCCCATCAAGCTGGACACCCATCCTATCACCAACAATATATGGATCAATTCCAATCGATCCATACCCGCCTCGACACTTACAATCAAGATCTCACGAGCCTGACTCGAAGTTTCTCTTCTTTCACCACTCAATACACTAGGGATCAAGAGTGCCAGCGTAAAGATGTGGAGGAATTTTGGGCTTGGACCCGAAACTCCGATTATTACCCTTATCCTCCTCCTCCGCAATAGGTTGTTCCGCCCTCTCCAAGCATCGGGGACGATGCATATCTTTAAGCTTGGGGAAGGGTAGAGTTGTACATTAGGTGCATTTCATACTCATGCATGCCTTTCTTTTAAAAAAAAAACAAAAAAAAACAAAAAAAAATAGTTTTTATTTCAAGTTTTTACATTATATCATTTTTATCATTTTCATGCATCATCATCATCATTCAAAAAAATATCAGAAAAAGGAGTGCAAGATGATGACATTCTTTACATCAATAGCTCCATGAAGTGGGAAATCGAGAACTCAAATGAAAAAAATAATAATGAGGTAACCGGATAATTACCGGAAATGTAGAATCAACTATCATAACTAGGAGACCCAAACACCGTAACTCGAGACCCAAACTTAGATAATAATAAAAAAATGGAATATTAAAACGTTTTGTGGGCGGTAATAACAGCTTTAGGATGATTTGCTTATGAATGTTTAAAAAGAATTTTTAGCGACAACTCTGGACCCACTGAACGCGGACCTATATGTTAACACGCATTACCCTCGCGGTAACAGAGAGCTTAAGTATCAGATCCACACAGTCAAGAAAGAAGGAAGGGTACAACTGACATATCCAGTACCCAAATCAGAATTTCAAGTGCTAAAACGAAGAAATTATCAGAAATTCAAAAGTTGGTTGAAGAATTCAAGCTCAAAATGAAGATACAAATCCAAGTCAATCAAAAATCAAAAGCCACCTCAAAGTCAAATATGGCGAATGAAGAATTGTGTGATATGATACTTGTGGCTCTCGAAAAAGTGAAAGCATAGGAGCTGGGCCCCTTCGGGTGGGCTCACTATTTCAGCGAAAGCTGATTCGCCGTGATGGGTTCTTAAGGATGCGTCGATTCTAATTCTTGACCATCTAGTCTTAAGGACATGAGATCCGAACTATGTTATTTTCGCCTATAAAGCTAATTAAGGTATGAAGTTTAAGTAAAACTATGGCTGGGTTATTGGGTTACATCGTTTCAGGTCTTTCTCACTTTGGGAGTCTATGATATGTTGAAGGAAGCAGGATGGTTGCCTAGGTATTAATGATTAAAGCCACATTGATGTAAAGTCTGATCGTACTTATATAGATGATTTACTTGTGTCTTAAACTTCTTTTTTGGTACATTTTGCTTATGTATTGCTTTTGTACATATTTTTTCTTTTTCATGGTTTTCATTACATGCATTCATTCCTAGCCTTTAGGATCTTTTTGTCCCTTTTTACTCTATGTTTCTTTTTACCATCTAGAAATCATCCTGTTTTGTCTGATTCATATTCTTTCTTGAGGACAAGAAAGGTCTAAGCTTAGGGAAGGAATCAACAAGATGAATGTGATTATGGACTCGAAGATCAAAGAACTCGACGAGTTCAAGGACGAACTCGGCGAATTACAGACAAATGTCGCGACTGATATGAAGAAGAACTCGATGAGTTCAAGGATGAACTCGGCAAGTCATGAGAAAAAGGTCCCTATTTTGTATGAAGGAGAACTCGATGAGTTCAATGAGAACTCAATGAGTTAGGAGTAAAAGTCTCGGCCATGTAGGAGGGAAATCGACGAGTTCTTGAAAGACTCAATGAGTAGGATCGAAGTTTTAGTATTTTGTGGATTATGGAACTCGAAGATTTGGTGGACCAACTCGGCCAGTGGAGTCAACCAGATGTTAACTTTGGCCAAAAGTTGACTTTGACCAGGTTGTTGTCCTTAACTTTAACTTTGAACGAGTTGACCCTTGAAAGGGTTAAGAGTTTGAAAAAGTAATTAAGGAAGATTGTTATGTGTAGGAGTTGAGCCTAGCACCGAGGACAGTTCAGACACTACATGACATTGAGGTGAGTTACCTTCCAATAGAAGTGGTTCAAAGACACTAAGGCCGACCCACTAGTAAGAATTATAGTAGAGATAATTGTCTTTGTGATAATTATCTGGTATATTGTTATCTGTTATGATTATGTGCTTGTATGCTATGATGTTATGATATATGATAGGAGGGGTAGGATAGACCCCAATACCTATGCACTAGGATGCTATGTGGTAGAGTAGTGGTGAAATAGTCCCCAGTACCGGTCGAAAGGACCGAAGGGTAGGCCAACACCCTGATATGCTAGGCAAAGTTACCTGTAACATCCCAAATTTCAAGTCCAAAAATTTCTTTTAAAAACATTACTAATTCATAGCGTTAAGTCATTCAAAGATACAAAAAGGGTTTATATGAGAAATCATAGTTTCTTTTCCAAAACACTTGTTTAATTATCAGAGTAAACATCCTAGGCTAACTTGCTATGGTGTGTGCACTACAACCCTCCCAAGCTACTCTTTTGAAAACTGACCACCTGAAACCAAAACTGAAAACCGTAAGCACGAAGCTTAGTGAGTTCCCCAAACCTATCGCATACCATACATATCTACTAATCCAAACATGCCATACATAATACTGAGCACATAACCACATATTGGGCTTCCGCCCGCTGCATTGCGCCTCGCCTACTATCAGACCCCGTCCACCACCAGGCCCTGCTTGGCTTCGAGCCCTGCTCGGCGTACATATCTATTTTCCTTAGGCCCCGCCTGTCTCCGGGCCCCGCCCACTAACATATACTAGTATACAATCATATCACAACACATAACTAACATGATCTACTGGATTAATGTACTAAGGCCTCGCCTACCTTGGGCATCGCCCCCTGTCCTACTACTGATGAATCATGGAACCGCGTCCACACTCCTGCTGATAGTGAGATACGAGCCCAACCCACACTCACTTTTTTCCTTACTTGGGCCTCGCCCCTGCTCTACAGCTAATGAGGTATGGAACACCATCCTCACTCTACTATTGGTGAGATACGATACCTCGCCCACACTCACCTCCCTACCAGGCACATACATGTTTCACACAGACAACAAGTATAACTATCATACAAACCATTCCTTGGGCACTCGCCCGCTAACATTGGACCTTAGTCCCCAATGTCATACTAGCATACTGTGCCTAGGGTTGACCTCCGGGTCTTCCTACATAACTACATGGGCCGACATTATGGCCGTAGATCCATTCACACAAAGGAAAACTCACCTGCACTACTGAAGTTTGTTGATAACCCTCTGGCTACTGTCTGACAACTCTTCGAACCGCTGCTCCACTAGCTCCCCGAGCTACTAATACCAATATAACACTTAGCTCCAAACTGAACTCTAGAAGTTAAACTAAGTCAACTTTAGTCAAAGTCAACCTTCCAGTTGACTCGACTCGCTGAGTCAACTCATAGACTCGCCGAGTTCTTAAACTCAGAAACTCTCAAAATACTACTCAACTCGCCGAGTCATCCTAAGACTCGTCGAGTTCAACAATCTCTAAGTCCCATCCTAGGGATGAGCAAAAGGACCGAACCGGCCGGAACCAGACCGGAACCGGGAACCGGCTTCGGCCAAAATCAAGAACCGAACCGGCCCGGTGGTTCAATCGGTTCCGGTTCTACCGGTTCCCGGTTCCTACCGTTCCCGGTTCCT